TTAGCTTTATCGGTTATCAAGAACGAATGAAAAAACTAGATTATAAATCAAAAATTGAAATAGACAACAAAGGTAGAATCGAAACCCAATATAATCATCCATAATTTAATAAAAATCAAACTTTTATTGTTTTCTTATGTTAATTTAGCAAAAATCAAATCAAAATCTCTCTTTTGTTTTGCATATTTCGAATTTCATACATAACTAATAAACTCGAATTGAAATTTATTTCTTGTGGGACGATAGCTCTTAACTCACCAAATTTATTACTTGTCAACGATCTCGTACACTTGCATGTTTTGCACGAACAATACAGATATATGATGAGCACTTTGAAGATAAATATAGCAGTGATGTAGATGAAACAGAGGCATAATGAGCTCTCTGTCGTAGTCCCACATGGTGAGGCATATCAAAGAATAAATAGCAAGTTGGAGTCTCATCTTGAACGATAGTTGGGACAAGGATTATATCGCGAAGCCATGAAATTTGTCCGCTGAAGTAGGCAATAAGTATCCCATGAGGAATAGACATCTCGTAGATGGCTCTTTCGAACTATTTGAGACTCATAAGCTCGCCTTTGATGGACGAGGCCTTATAGTTGGGCTTGATAACAGCGAGTAAAAAATATGTATCTTGCAAAGCCAAGAAATAAGCATCTCACATGGCATGCATCTCGCAGGGTGAGGAATAAACATCTTGCATGGTGAAGAATCCGTTTGACAATGTGAGAAATAAGCGTCCCTCGACGTGATGAATAAACATCTCGCGGATGGTTTTCTAGAACTATCAGAGATTTATAAGCTAGCTTCAGATGGACAGGTTTTATGGCTAGACTTGACAATAGTGAAGGATAGGGAACAATCATCTTGTGACGCTAAAGAATCTTTCTAGCAAAGCGAAAATAAACATATAGCGGATGGCTCTCTTGAAATATCAAAAACGTATAAGCAGGCCTCAAATGGATAAGCTCTTGTAGTTGGGCCTTACGATAGCATCTCGCAGAGCGAAGAATTAACATCTAGCATGACAAGACATCTCTCAATGATGAGAATAAACATCTCGTATGGTGAAAAATCTCAGAAATGAGGAATAAACATCTCGTTTGGTGAAGCATCTCGAAGGGCAAGAAGTAACATCTCATGTAACGAGGCATCTCAAAGGAAGAAAAATAAACATCTCACTCAGTAAGGTATCTTAAAGAGGAAGTGTTCCTTTTGCAAAGGCGACATGTCAAGCTAAAACCACAAAGATGCTCCTTGTTCAAAGGTAAATATTTTAAGATTTTGCCTCTTCTTTTATTTCAAGGAACAAGGACTCCAAGATACCGCTTCTTCCCTTTTCAAGGAATGAGGACTCCAAAATATTGCTTTCGATAATAAAAGTCGATGAGTCAGAGTTCGTCTTTAGTAATAAGAGGACCACGAGCCAAGGCTCGCTTTTGATAATAAGAAAATCACGAGCTAAAGCTCGTTTTCAATAAATATGAAATCTATGAGTTAGGGGTCACCTTCAATAAATAAGAACCACGAGCTACGACTCATCTTCGATTATAAGATTAGGCATTTGTCAGGCACTTGGTTGCACATATTCAGCCATTTGCTTTCAACAGCATTTGCAAGTCTCAACGCTTACATTTTTAATCTCAACTCAGACAATTTGCAGCAATTCACAGCATAATTTTATGGTTTATACCTCGTAAATAATTTCTGCAATCTCTTCACAAGTAAAAACTCAACAAACGAGCAGCAAGAATATGACAAACTACAACGCCCTCCAATGTTGATCAAGGCATTCTATTGATCAAGCTTTAACGACCAATTTCATATCAATTTGTGGCAATTTTGCGAACTATTTCTTCACCCAACAAAACTGAAACAATTTTTGAAATCACCCAAAATCTGACTTGCCGAGTCGGTGGCTTGCAATTTGCTTAGCGAATCCATTATCTTTGAATTAGAAAGCTTAATTAAAGTTTGCATGCCCTTGAATAACATTGGTTTGCAAAATAGATTGTTTAAACTGAATTACCAAGCTCGTGAATTTGTGAGAAATGAACAATGAACTGAAGTATCCATAAAGGCCCAGTACATGAAGGAACTTTTATGATGGCCTAAAAAGAAGAATTATTGCCTACCAACTGAATTTATAAAGAGAAAATTTCATATCTAAGATATTAAGTATGACCCATTTCAAAATTAAGAAATAATATCTAAGACTTCAAAAATCATATATTAATTATATTTTATTTATGAGATTATTAATTAAATATATTAAGATTACAATTCTATATTATTTGATCACAAATTATCGAATTAAATGGTCAAAAATTATTTATATATCACGAATCAAAAATCTTATAGGTCACAAATTATTTCACGGTCACAAATCAAAAATTTTATAAGTCGCAATTCATGTATCGATCGTAAATCCAAAGATTTGTATGTCACAATTTATTTATCAATCACAAATAATAAATTTTATAAGTTACGACTTAAATTTTTAAGCCACATATTATTTATTGATCATAGTTGTTAGTTATATTGGTCACAAAATATCTTTATTGATCACAATCTAATATAATTGCTCACAAAATATTTTATTTATTCGTCATAATTTCATATAACTTGTTACAAACACTCTTTAATTCCACCACCCAACTCTAATCCACCATGGCACCAACCTAAAGCAGCACCAACCCACCCCCACCACCACCTCCACTACCACCTCCAACAAACTACCATTTTCAACTTCAAAACCACTACAACCGCCAACAAACCACCATTCTCAACTACAAAAACCACCACTGCTACTGCCCAATCCAAAAAAACCACCCAGTTGCTATATCCACCATGCCACTCTCACCATCGTCGCTAGCAACACCAACACCATCAAAAAAAAAAAAAAAAAAAAAAAAACACCAACACCATCAAAAAAAAAAAAAAACATTAGGCAAACCAAAGCAATGACAGCTAAACCATTTCTATCTCGAGGTCGAAGGCAACTTTGGGAGCTACGACGAACAGTAGTACCCAGCACTGCTACTGTTGCGAACATCGATGAAGTGTGCCTCTCGAACAATGGCAAGGTGTGAACAGCGGCAGTGCTGTCTCTCACGGTGTTGTGTGTTGCTATATGTCGACGTTTTTTTCTTCTTTGATGCTCGCACATCAAAGGTGTTGACTAGCCAGTGGCATCGTAAGCCCAATGATGACAGTAATTCGATGGTGGTGTACGGCAAAGAGAGAAGAGAGAATGGATATTTAGAAAGAGAATGAAGATATATATATATATATAGAGAGAGAGAGAGAGAGAGAGAGAGAGAGAGAGAGAGAGAGAGGTAAAAAATTATTAGGGTTCGAAAAATTCAGTAGGATGGAAGGATGTATTATTAAATTAAAATATGGAAGTATCATCTTTAAATCTGATTTTTGAAATTGGAACTTAAAATCAAGTTCTATGTAATTTCCACATTTATAAATCTGAAAGTTGGGATAAATTATGGTTGCCAAGAAGAAAGTCTTATGGCAACTAACTTAACGTTGAAAAATAAATTATAGGCTCAGTCTATTCAATCCAAGAGTGGGAGACGGTTTGGCTAGGGTCAGAATTATATACCTTGATCTTGAAATGGATCATATATATTTGGTAAAACGAAAATGGGCCAAGCAGTGTTAATAGGCCGAGTTTCAAGCCCAGTGTGAAGCTTCTTGATTTAGTAGGTCCTATCCAATTAAACAATCAATGTTGTGTCGGTCAATGTGGGACCCTATTTGTCATGCGTAATTTATATATATAACAGATTCAATGAAATGAGAGTTTAAACAGTAATGGTTTTGCTGATTTTGACTGGGCTTCATGTACAGAAGGAGATCAACATTATTATATTGTATCTACCTGGGAGTTATCCTAGTATCTTGGTCCTTGAGGAAAAAAATAACAGTTGCATGGTCCAGCAAAGGATTCGTATATAAAGCCTTATTACAAGCTACAACTGAGGTAATGCGGTATAATCCTTGTTCAAAGAGGAGAAGCTGCAGTAGAATTCAGTGCCAGATGTTTGACAATCTAAGTGCTAGTTTTCTAGCATCAAATGCGGTATATCATGCTAGAAGTAAACACATTGAGCTGGATGTGCATTTTATTAGAGATAAAGTGCTTTACATAATACCTGAAATCAGTTATTTGTCTTTCATCGGATCAAACAAACAGACATATTAAAAAAACCACTCACACAATCCAGATTCTTATCTAAAAGGCAAGCTTGAGTGATAAGAGTACTAGCTAGCATGAGGGTGGGTGTTAGAATTCAACACTCCATTTGAGAAAATTTATAAATTCTTTAATTTATGAATAGATAGAAATAAGTGGTAGATAAGTGAATACTACTTACAGGGCCTATTGAAATACGTGATTAAAAATAAAGTTTGACCATTTATAATTATAAATTTTGGCAAACTGAGGCAGAAAGTTGAAGTAAGGAGAAACCTACATTCAAGGTTGAAATCAAGTTGTAACATTTTTGTATGTACTTTAACACATTCATCATGTTATTCTTTATGACTGACTCTCACTACACCAAAAATGATCATTTGCAACATATAAAAGGCAACATTCAATAGTTAAGTGTTGCTAAAAAGGTCTACTGCAACATTTTAATGAGTGAATGTTGCTATTGGTTAACAAAATTGAGCTTTAGCAACATTTTTTAAATAGATGTTGCCAATGTCAAATGTTGCTAAAAATGGAACTTTTCACAACACTTAATAAACGTTGCGAAAATGTTCTTTTTTGCAACGTTTACTGGCCGTTGCAAAAAGTTCACTTTTCGCAACATTTATCAAATGTGGCAAAAGGTTTTATTTTTTCACAACGTTTATTCATTTAAAAAATTTTCTCTTTTGCAAAGCTTGTTGAATGTTGCAAAGAGTATATCCTTCTGCAACGTTTTCTAAACGGAACTCAAATAAAATTATATATGAATCCAAAATAATCCAAACCCTAGACTAATAATAATTCACGCCTCTCCCCTCTCTTCTTCTTAACCCCTGCCCAAAATACTTCCTCATATTTTGCCCAAATAATTTGCTCCCGTTCTGCCCCAATAGAAGGTCTTAGTGTTGATTGAGGGTTCAAAAACGCTGTTCTTCCTCTTCGAGATCTTTAAGGATAATATAATGTACATAGATGAGCAGAACAGTGCTGCGAATCGGACCTATAAACTGGGTTTGAACTGAATCGCTGATCTCACCAATGAGGAGCACCGGTCCATGTATTTGGACATAACTTGGTGCTGAGGATGTGGTTATAGAGGAAGGCAGTGCTGGAGAGGCAGGAAAAACAGCAGCTCAAAGTGCATGAGAAAGTAATTTTTGAATTTTATGCCTAATGATGTTTTAGCATCGTTGTCAATAAAAAAAAGATTTTTCTGATTTATGTAGTTGCTTCATTGGTGAGCAGATCTTTATTTTGCCCTAATCCGGCTGGTGACACTCCTTCGTCCGCTAGATTGGTTGATGCGATCGTCAGCGGTTGCATTCCTGTTGTAATTAGTGATGAACTGGAGCTTCCTTTTGAGGTAATACTCGATTATCGGAAGGTATGCATATATTGTTCAAGGTTTGGCCATTCAAATTGTTCAACGCATCTCCTACATTAATGACTTGAGTTGATGAATTGGAATAGAAAGGGTCGGCGTAGGATATTCATAATCTAAAATTTCAGTTTTTCGATTCTGTACTTGGAAGAAATAATAGGATTTTAGATTAGGATTTCAGAAGTTGATTGAAGAAATTAATTAGATGGCTTTGAGAAGATTTCCCCCACATGAATATAACTTCCTCTGTTTAACCAGCAGCTTTGTTAAAGAACTGTATCTTACATTTTTCTATATTAAGAAGATTCTTCATAAGGCTTTTGTTTGGTGATAGAAGCAATTGTTTTACTTGCAGATAGCTTTATTTGTTTCTTCTGGTGATGCATTGCGGCCGATGTCTCTTAACATTTCTACGAAGTGTTAGTCTTGTTCAAATTAGAGAGATTCAAGTTACTTTAGTGAAAGTATGTGCATCTCCAATTTGTTAAGATAGCTAATCTTACTCATGCTTCAACTTTTAAGTCGTGTCGGAAGTAGGGTTGCAGTGATTTCTTCTTACACCATTTATAATATATGAATCAAAATCCCAATCCTTGGACACCATGTTTTCAGTGACTTTGATTCATTTTTGAATGCTGGATCTAAGTTGGTAAACAACGTGAAAGTGAATTGAGTTTAAATGCCTTTATATCGCAGCACTCTAGACATTTCTTGTATTCTCATCCTGCTCAACCAATGGGGCCGGAAGAGTTGGTTTGGAGAATGGTATGTTACTCTATCTATATTCAATCTTAATATACTGCCATCACCATCTAGCGCATTTGTTGCTTGAATGTGTAAAATGTTTGTACAAGAAGTGTTGTATGAAGAGTTGGTTTTTGACACAGTTGACAGTACCATTGTTGGATGCTGAACATTTTAATGTGTGAATTTTATTGGTAGGACTGATGACTTGGTGTTGGCCCCTTGTATTATAGTAGAATATACTGGATGGACCCCTCCTATGGGTGTCTCTTTCTTAAGTTATTTTCTCTCCCCCTACTTTAGAGGGGATGGATGAGCAGTCACTTTATTTATTTAATAAAAGGGATAATTTTTTTGGTGTACCCTAGATTTAGACAATAGTAACAACCTCTAATTTTTATTTTGTTTTTGGGTTCTAGGAAATCCTTTTTAAATTCAGTTGATAAAAATGATTGCCTAAATTGACAGCAACAGTGGCAGTAACATCTAATAATTAACAAGAATAAAAAATGGATTCTTTCTAACAAGATTAATATGAATATAAATTGTTTTGCTACTTCCTTTCTGCTAATCACACTGAAAAGCTCTGTAAATAAGCTGATGCTCTAATGAAACTCACAAAGAGTTTTCATATAATCATTGTATTTGATATCACAATGTGAATACTTTTTAAAGATTATAGTTTAAGAGTTAAAAAATACAGTGATATACTTAATTTTTTGTAGACTTGCTTTAAACTTCATATTTTGTTGTCCAATAATCTGATTCTTTTGTTCATCTTTGAATTAGTTTCTGTTTAATATGTGCAACAATCAAATCAATTCTCACTTTCTGATATCTCTTGTATGGTGTTTGTATTCCAATGTTCACCCAGAAATATTTTTAGAGATCCATTGTCGTGTATTCCAATGTTTACCTAGAAATATCTCTTGGATGGTAAAGAAATGAGGCTACGACAATGGCTGTTGTGAGTCTCTCTAGCCCTGGCATAGGTGAAGGAATGGGATGACATTAGAAGGGCTTATGGGTTTTCTTTTTCAGGTTCATGTATTGCCAATGGTTCTTACTTATTTTTCTTTGCTTTTCTTCTTGATTATAATTGGTACAAATGTCTAAAATGTGGTATCTATCTTTATCTCATTATTTTATAGGCCAGGACTGATATTTAAGACACAGCTCATGTCGAAGATTGTTGAGAAGAAAATTAACGAGGCCGACAGGGTGGTTTCACTCACTACTTAGTGGTTGTTTTTTTTTTTTTTTTTTTTTTTTTTTTAAAATTTTTGGGGGTTTTTTTATTTTTTGTTTTTGGTAAAATTTGTGAAGAAAACACAAAACGACTTTTTTGTCGTTTTGGGCGTTTTCAGTGTAAAACTTGAAAAAATTGAAAACGAGAGAAACACTTCTTTTTTTTTTTTTTTTTTTTTTTTTTTTGGGAGGTGGTGTGGTGATTCTCAAAGTTTCAAAAAAAAATTAAAAATAAAAAAAAAATTTTTTTTGAGGAGATAGTGTGGTGATTCTCAAAATTACAAAAAAAAAAAATAAAAATTAATTTTTTTTTTTTTTTTGGGTTTTTGAGGTGATCTTTTGGTGATTTTCAAAAATTTAAAAAAAAAAAAAAAAATCATTTTTTTTGTTTTGAGAAACTAACAAAAAGAACGCATTTTCAACCATTTCAAAACAAACACTCAAAACACAAAACTCAAAATGAATTTAAAACTCAAAACACAAAACTGAAACACAAAGAGAACACCCCCTTATCTTTCGCAACGTTGAACAAACGTTGCAAAAGAGAGGATTTTGCAACGCTTAACAAACGTTGCAAAAACTCTTCCTTCAACGAAAACATCGTCCTTTGCAACACACGCCAAAATGCTGCAAAAGATCTTTTGCAGCGTTTTTTGACCGCTGCAAAAATCTTTTTTCGGTGTAGTGCCTAGAGAATTAGGGATGACAAGAAGTCAAGAATTTTCCCGATTGATCGAGGAATGAGATGGGATGGGATAGTAATGCTGTAGGTATAAGGACAATGGTTCCCATGCCGAAAATTATTTTCATAATTATATTTATTATTAAAAGTAGTGACTATTTAGGCCCTTAGATTAGAGTATTTATTAGTAATTTGAATGAGTTATAGCCTAATTTTATGTTAATTATGTTTGTTAAGTTTAACTCAATGCAAATTGGTGGACTTGGAAGAAGTAAACGAAAAACGTGCGAAAACGAAGGAAATCTAAAGTTGGAGGACCAAAGTGTAAATATTCAGCAGTTGATTCGGACCACAAAATGATGATTGAAGATCACATGACATCAATTGGATTCAATTGGAGGCCAAATGAGTGAAATAGAGTCGAGATATTTGAACAAATCAATTGCCAAACGAAGAAGTAGTACTCTAGAGTTTTAGCCTCAATTTAAGACCCATTTTTTGGATAGCAAACATTTGAATTGGAAAATTTGTACCTACGGAATAATTATAGTTTTTTGAGTCGGCTTTTCCAAAGTACTTTGAATCACCTCAATCTGAGTTCTGAAGAGGACGTTATGACCAAATTACCAAAAGTTATACAAGGACGATATTGCGAAAACAACATCAAAATAACATATGTAGATAGAAGTAGGAATAATCATTATCACATATGCAGTCACATAGATAACCTATAATTTAATGCATTTTAGTCATAGGAATAGGATAGGGTCATGATTAGAATAGATTTAATTTGTCTTGAAAAAGAGAATTAAATACACTAGTTTTATCGATTGTCACGAAAGCGTGAAATTGACTATTTTACGAATTAATAATTAAAATAATAGCAATAGGGGGATCATTCACATATTTGACAAAATATTTTTTATTGCTTCCTTGGTTTAGAATTAGTTTAAATAATAACAAAATCATGCCTTTTGTGTAACGAACATTGAATTTAGTAGTAACTAATGAACTAGAATTAAACATTATTTCTCATGGGACGTTAACTTACAACTCACTTTATTATTACTTGTCAATGATCTCGTACACTTGCGGGTTTCACATGGACAAGTTTTTGACATCGTTGTCGAGGAATAATGGATTTGATTTTAGTCTAATAGTTTCTATTAAGTTTGATTTTTCTTAATTTTTTACTTTTACTTTTATTCTTTTAGGCTCTAATTGAGATCCGATCTCTTCTTTTTTTTTTATCTTCGTAGGTTTACACAGTTTTATATAAGATCATGAGGAGATCAAAATCCTCCCAACAGATACTGAGATTCAATGGACTTTCAAACAATGCAGAAGAGAACAGAAAAGAGTTAGGATAATGGTTGGAAATCAAAATCATATTCAAGATGCATTACGGGAAGTAGCACTTCAAGTTCAACAACCACTTCTTGCTCAGCCAATATTAGTGTAGAATTATGTTAATCCAATTTTGGCTCCAGTTCAACCTCTGATCGTCAATCTATCCTTCGGACAAGCCAACTTTCACATCCAACTAGATTCATAAACCTCTTCCAGAATCATCACGACATCAGATTTTGTGGGAAAACTACAGAGAATCCACATGAACACATACTGGCTTTTCTCATGCTGTGCAAAATAATTAGCCACAAGGGAATGTCACAAAATGTATTTCGAATGCGTCTATTCCCTCACACTTTAAAGGAGGAAGCAAAAGCATAGATGTATTCACTGTCTCCCAGGAACATTATATCATGGAATGACATGGTACAAAAATTTACCATTAAATTCTTCTCGCCATCTCGAGTCCATCAAATAAAAAACAAAGTATATCTTTTCAAATAGATGGACTTTGAGACATATCCAAAATCATGGGACATGTTCAAGAATGCATTTAGGAAGTGTCCAAATCATGACATTCCTAAACTTGCTCAAATATATATTTTCTACAATGGATTGCACTTTGAATTCCTTAATATTGTAAATGTTTCCGTGGGCAGATCAATTTTGACTATCGAGGTAGATAATGCACATAATCTATTGGGAGAATTGATGAGAATCAGGCAAGCTGGCCAACCAAACAATGGAACACCGAAAAAGAAAACTGGGATGCATAATGTGGATGTAGTGTCTCCTCAATCAGAGGAATTATAGCTCTTTGAGTCGGCTTTTCCAAAGTACTTTGAATCACCTCAATCAGAGTTCGGAAGAGGACGTTATGACCAACTTACCAAAAGTTATCCAGGGACGATATTGCGAAAACAACGTCAAAATAACATATGTAGATAGAAGTAGGAATAATTATTATCACATATGCAATCACATAAATAACCTATAATTTAATGCATTTTAGTCATAGGAATAGGATCGGGTCATGATTAGAATAGATTTAATTTGTCTTGAAAAAGAGAATTAAATACACTCGTTTTATCGATTGTCACGAAAGCGTGAAATTGACTATTTTATGAATAAATAATTAAAATAATAGCAATAGGGGGATCACTCACATATTTGACAAAATATTTTTTATTGCTTCCTTGGTTTAGAATTAGTTTAAATAATAGCAAAATCATGTCATTTGTGTTACGAACATTGAATTTAGTAGTAACTAATGAATTAGAATTAAATATTATTTCTTATGGGACGTTAACTCACAACTCACTTTATTATTACTTGTCAATGATCTCGTACGCTTGCGGGTTTCACATGGACAAGTTTTTGACATCGTTGTCGAGGAATAATGGATTTGATTTTAGTCTAATAGTTTCTATTAAGTTTGATTTTTCTTAATTTTTTACTTTTACTTTTGTTCTTTTAGGCTCTTATTGAAATCCGATCTCTTCTTGTTTTTATCTTCGTAGGTTTACACAGTTTTATATAAGATCATAAGGAGATCAAGATCCTCCCAACAGATCCTAAGATTTAATGGACTTTCAAACAATGCAGAAGAGAACAGAAAAGAGTCAGGATAATGGTTGGGAATCAAAATCATATTCAAGATGCACTACGGGAAGCAGCACTTCAAGTTCAACAACCACTTTTTGCTCAGCTGATATTAGTGGAGAATTATGTTAATCCAATTTTGGCTCCAGTTCAACCTCCAATCGTCAATCTATCCTTCGAACAAGCCAACTTTCACATCCAACTTGATTCATAAACCTCTTCCAGAATCATCATAACATCAGATTTTGTGGGAAAACTACAGAGAATCCACATGAACACATACTGGCTTTTCTAATGCTTTGCGAAATAATTAGCCATGAGGGAATGTCACAAGATGTATTTCGAATGCGTCTATTCCCTCACACTTTAAAGAAGGGAGCAAAAGCATAGATGGATTCACTATCTCCCAGGAACATTATATCATGGAATAACATGGTACAAAAATTTATCATTAAATTCTTCCTGCCATCTGGAGTCCATCAAATGAAAAACAAAGTATATCTTTTCAAATAGAGGGACTTTGAGACATATCCAAAATCATGGGACAGGTTCAAGAATGCGTTTAGGAAGTGTCCAAATCATGACATTCCTAAACTTGCGCAAATATATCGTTTCTACAATTGACTGCACTTTGAATTCCTTAATATTGTAGATGTCTTAGGGCAGATCAATTTTGACTATCGAGGTAGATAATGCACATAATCTATTGAGAGAATGGAGGATAATCAGGCAAGCTAGCCAACCAGACAAGGGAACTCCGAAAAAGACAACTGTGATGCATAATGTGGATGTAGTGTCAGTGTTAGCAGCAAAGATAGAAACAATAATGAAAAAGCTTGACACTTTAACTCAATCTGTGTATATGGTACAACATCCAACTCCGGTTTGGACACGTTGTGGGATAGTTCACATCACTACAATATGCCCTTTGGCTTCCACTTACATAGGTAAGCCAATAGAGGTCAGTTATGAACCGAACTATCAGAGATAAAATGGACCTTGCCCACACAACTATTATCCGAGTTTGAGCAAGCATCCCAACTACGCGTGGGTAGATAATTCAGATCAAGTAAATAAGATGAAGGACAATCTACAGGATTCAGTAATAAGAAGAAAGTAGTCAATCCTTGAAGGATCTACTTGTCAGGTACCTCACCAAGGCTGAGACGGTGATGCAGAATCAACAAGCCTTTATACATAAATTAGATAGTTAGGTGGGATAGATAGCAACTGCATTAGCAAACAAACCACGGGATGCCTTGCCTAGCAACACAAAGAAAAATCCACGAGAGCAAGTACTAGCAGTTGAGGCGATGAGTTCTAAATCTAAAGAGTCACTATCATTTATCCCCAATATTCAAGTTCATGCT